CCTGCAAAAAAAATCTTTAGTTCCTAGTGTGTGGTTTGGTCAACATTTTTCAGCCACGTTATTGTGACTCTTCATCTGCATCTTAAAAGTAATTATTTGCAGGTATAATACGTAGTATTAACCAGAGTAGTGTGTGTCTATTCTTAGTAATTATAGTGATTTATAAGTAGAAAACAAATTATTAATATCTATAACGAAAAACACTGACTAACATCAGACACAGTGTGATCCTGGGCGCCCACAGACGTCAACTGGCGTTGCTTGCAGCTTCAGGGTTGATGAGCAACTCTGACAGTACTCACAGAAATCACAATAACGTGATAAAATCAAATAAACAAATCCACAAGGGCCGTGATGAGGATTCGAACCTACGCACGCGATGTTCCCAGCTGCGCCTTAGTCAACTGAACCACGACAACATGGTAAAAAGAATTGCAACCTGGAGTGCTACTGCCCTCATTGGGATCCCGAAGCCCAATCGTGAAGGATGGAGGAATTGAATTTCATACAATTCCTCCATCCACCCGGACTCTGTCAACCAAATGTTCTACCTCATGTGGATTTGTTCATTAATTCTGACAGCTCTTATCATCCAGTGAACAATATTTTCAAGAAATTCTTGCAATTTTTGAGGATTATACATTTCCCATCAATTACAATCACCGACACCAGCTGGTAATTGTTCTCTGCAGCACCACAATCACCCCTCATCGACCCAGGAGTTATCCCAACTTCACAAAAGCAAGCAGCGAGTCAATGTGTTTTAGTGAGAAGAAAACAGTGTTTACCTCAGCTGGTGCCCCTGGCCACAGTGGGGCCTACGTCATAACATCATCAATTTCCCGCTCTCAACAACTTCTTAAGAAATCAAGATTCATCACAATTTGTCACATTCAATTCAACTGTGAATTGGAAGAAACGGGTAGTGTGGGGAGCCCCCACACCAGCCACACGTCACCCCCCCACACCAGCCCCACGTCACCCCCCACACCAGCCCCACGTCACCCCCACACACACCAGCCCCACGTCACTCCCACACAAGCCCCACGTCACCCCAACACCAGCCCCACGTCACCCCCACACCAGCCCCACGTCACCCCCACACACACCAGCCCCACGTCACCCCCACACCAGCCCCACGTCACCCCCACACACCAGCCCCACGTCACCCCCACACACCAGTCCCACGTCACCCCCACACACCAGTCCCACGTCACCCCCACACACCAGTCCCACGTCACCCCCACACACCAGTCCCACGTCCCCCCCACACACCAGTCCCACGTCACCCCCACACACCAGTCCCACGTCCCCCCCACACACCAGTCCCACGTCACCCCCACACACCAGCCCCACGTCACCCCCACACACCAGCCCCACGTCACCCCTACACACCAGTCCCACGTCACCCCACACACCAGCCCCACGTCACCCCCACACACCAGTCCCACGTCCCCCCACGTCACCCCCACACACCAGCCCCACGTCACCTCTACACACCAGCCCCACGTCCCCCCACACACCAGCCCCACGTCACCCCCACACACCAGTCCCACGTCCCCCCCACACACCAGTCCCACGTCACCCCCCACACACGACAGGATCAGTCGTTCCTAAACGCCGCAAAACATTAATTGTAAATGTGGAGATCATTTTCTAATCTCAGCCAATCATTTTTAGTATTACATCTGACCATTGGAGAGTTTGTGGTGGAATACAGGTAAGTGTCTCCTTTAAACATGCTATAGTAATGAAATTTAGGCATTACGAAAATTCTTGCCCTGGACAAACTAATTAATTTCTGTTTACTATGAAAATATTTGTGTTCAAAGAGAGAGAGAGAGAGAGAGAGAGAGAGAGAGAGAGAGAGAGAGAGAGAGAGAGAGAGAGAGAGAGAGAGAGAGAGAGAGAGAGAGAGAGAGAGAGAGAGAGAGAGAGAGAAAGTATACAAAATATTCCTTATCTTAGATTAAACACGAGACACGAAACAAAATGTATTCAAAAACAGAACAAGATTGAGTGCCATTTGTGGGCAGTTGAGGCTTTGCTTCCCTCCCACACAACAGGGAGCAGGAATAACGAACTGTTCTTGAAGGCATTGAGCATCACAGGATCCATTGTAAACCTGCCATGACCCTTGATGAGGTCAACAACGTCAAGGGGCCCCTGAGAGCGCCCTGAGAGCCCTGAGAGAGCCCTGAGAGCGCCCTGAGAGCGCCCCGAGAGCGCCCTGTGACGCTTGACACGCGATCATATTTTTAGCTGTGAATAACGACTGTAACTTAGAATATTAATGCATATTACAGCGTGGCAGCGGGTGGTAGGGGGTGGTAGGGGGTGGTAGGGGGTGGTAGGGTGTGGTAGATGGTGGTAGATGGTGGTAGATGGTGGTAGATGGTGGAAGCGGGTGGTAGCGGGTGGTAGATGGTGGTAGGGGGTGGTAGACGGTGGTATAGCAGGTGGTAAACGGTGGTATAGCAGGTGGTAGACGGTGGTATAGCAGGTGGTAGACGGTGGTATAGCAGGTGGCAGACGGTGGTATAGCAGGTGGTAGACGGTGGTATAGCAGGTGGTAGACGGTGGTATAGCAGGTGGTAGACGGTGGTACGGGGTGGTAGCACATTTCCCAGCCCAACACATTCCGCCAAATACAGCTGAAAGCCAACGATAATTTTCGACACAGTAACCAATATATTTTTCTAGTGATTGGGTAAATTCCCTTCAAATACCGCGTGATTATCGTTTCGAATAATAGACCAAAATCACTCATTTACGTTAAAAAGAAAGACAAAATCACTAATATTCAGAAGTATACAATAGTTCTCCTGTATACTTTACAGTATACAATAATTCTGGTATGTTGTGTTGTGACAATTATAACTTGTTATACCAACGGTGTATAACATGAGGCGGCGGTTCAGTAGAAGCAGGATGGTATACCAGGGGCTATATTCACGAAGCAGTTACACAAGCACTTACGAACATGTACGTCTTTTCTCAAAATTTGGCGGCTTTGTTTACAATTATTAAACAGTTAATGAGCTCCGAAGCCCCAGGAGGCTGTTTATAACAATAACAACAGTTGATTAGGAAGTTTTCATGCTTGTAAACTGTTTAATAAATGTAACCAAAGCCGTCAAAGATTGAGGAAAGATGTATACGTTCGTAAGTGCTTGCGTAACTGCTTCGTGAATCTGGCCCCTGGCCACCACTGGTTCGGTATGTTCACTATACTTGGTTGGTGGTGGTATATTAACTACTTCACTGCATGTTCACTATATAAGACGCCAGGGGCCCGGCGTGTGGTCGACGCCAGGGGGCCCGGCGTGTGGTCGACGCCAGGGGCCCGGCGTGTGGTCGACGCCAGGGGGCCCGGCGTGTGGTCGACGCCAGGGGGCCCGGCGTGTGGTCGACGCCAGGGGGCCCGGCGTGTGGTCGACGCCAGGGGGCCCGGCGTGTGGTCGACTCCAGGGGGCCCGGCGTGTGGTCGACGCCAGGGGGCCCGGCGTGTGGTCGACGCCAGGGGGCCCGGCGTGTGGTCGACGCCAGGGGGCCCGGCGTGTGGTCGACGCCAGGGGGCCCGGCGTGTGGTCGACGCCAGGGGGCCCGGCGTGTGGTCGACGCCAGGGGGCCCGGCGTGTGGTCGACGCCTCCAACTTTACAACTGTAACGTACGATTATGTTACGTTGTTGGGTAGATTAGATACACAGTGTTTAGTGGGTTTTCATATTTATTTAGTAGTCCTGGATACAGCAGTGTCGCAGACGTTGAGACGGAGCTTGGAGCAGAGCAGAGAGCTGAGTGTGGCCGGAGTCGCGGAGCTCTATGTGGGAGAGCGTTGTAGCTGGCTGCGGTCCTAGTCTGCTGCCTGCTCGGTGTCGAAGCTGTAGCGTCTTGGGGACGATTAGAACTGCCTACGCCGAGTGCTACATTCTTGACTGGAAATTGTACTGTTATCTGTTCTCATATCACTTTCTTATATTTGGTGAGTACCCCTCACCTTTCTCTACTAGGATAGGAGGATGTGAGAACTGTTACCTGTAATTAGGGATAGGATTATAGCTTGTGTAGTTAGTGCTAATCAGTTACGCCAGTAAGATAATGAGATTATTGAGCGAGTATAAGGATTACTCGCTACAGGACTGATAACGAAATCGATGTAAAGAAACTGTTCTGGACTAGGCTTAGGCCTTAGCCAAAACTTTATTTAAATACCTTGTCTTAAAGTTTACATACGCATCCATGATTAAGAGAGTTGTTGCTTAATTAAAGATGTGCCTCAGGGATGTGTGTATGAAAATTTAGCATGGAGCATATTCTAATTGAAGGAAGAGGTTTCACAATGATAACTAGACGCTTGCTAATTCGCAAAGTTAGGTTATAACTGGAGTATACCTGGAGGGTGTTCTGGGAGTTCCTCTACTCCCCGGGCCCGGCCTAAGGCCAGGCTCGACTTGTAGGAGCTTGGTCCAACAGGCTGTTGCTTGGAGTGGCCCGCAGGCCCACATAGCCACTCCAGCCTGGTTGGCCAGGCACTTCTTGCAAGAACTTATCTAAGTGCCTCTTGAATACATCCACCTTTGTTCCAGCAATATTTCCAATGCTTGCTGGGTGAGTGTTAAACAGCTGTGGACCTCTGATGTTCAGAGTTCTCTGAATGTGGCCCAGACAGATTGATTAATTAATTTTAATATCGACATACATTATGCAGAATAATCCTTGGCAAATAGGTCTAATTAAATATAATTTGAGTTAATAAGATCAGGTAACAAGATCAGAGAAGTAAGCGTGTCTGTGACCACTGGCTGTGTGACCTCACAGATACTATACAACAACTTGTTCTCTTACTGATTAAATTGAATATAACCTGGACATAAGCAGTCGTAAAGCCTTGACTGGCTTCAGTAGGAACCTCCAGCCCTCCTGTGACTTCAGTGGAATCCCAGGTTGTATCATAGCATGTCGTGGTCCAGAGGTAAAGTGCGCAGCTTGGGAGTACCCAGGTCGAGGTTCGAATCCCCCGCATTATGCTCAGATCGAGGGTTCGAATCCCCCGCATTATGCTCAGGTCGAGGGTTCGAATCCCCCGCATTGTGCTCAGGTCGAGGGTTCGAATCCCCCGAATTATGCACAGGTCGAGGGTTCGAATCCCCCGCATTATGCTCAGGTCGAGGGTTCGAATCCCCCGCATTATGCTCAGGTCGAGGGTTCGAATCCCCCGCATTATGCTCAGGTCGAGGTTCGAATCCCCCGCATTATGCTCAGGTCGAGGGTTCGAATCCCCCGCATTGTGCTCAGGTCGAGGGTTCGAATCCCCCGCATTATGCTCCAATTCATTTTATCATAAATCTTTCGACATCCAGGCTATTTGTTTCTGAACAATCCTTATCTCAGTTGTTCTATATACACCAGTCAACGGCCACTGAAGAACATAATTGGTGTGGGACTCTAACATACCACGTAATTTACTGCGTAAATTGCGTGGTATGTTAAATTACGCAATAAATTATCATTAGTACCTGTTCTATATTCCCAATAATAATAGGTTATCAAGCCTGAGCCGCATGTGTACAAAGTCAGCCCAATACATTCTGTTTCTTCCGTAAGTAAAATCTGTTTTGAGTGACGTGTTTCACGGCATGACTACTCTCAGGTGTTGTATCTCTTCTAGTCAGTTCATTCAAATTCAAATTCAAAATTCAAATGTTTATTTAGGTAAAGTACATACATACAAGGGGTAATACAGATATTGATGAATTTATAGATAGAGCTAGTACATACAATGCCTAAAGCCACTATTACGCAAAGCGTTTCGGGCAGTTCCTCCTCGCCACCTCCTTCAACACCCTTCCAAACATGATGGAATCCACTTTGTGACATTTTAGCTTTATCTCACTTCTAGATGTTACCACTGCTAGGCTTAGGCTCGGCTACAAGTACTTCTGGGAGTTTATAACCTCTACTGATGTAGATTTGATTAAATGTAAACTCTGTCAGCAGAACTATTTGCATACTTTGCGTCATTATATAATGGAATGTGAAAAAATCGCGGAATTCAGAGATAACACCATCAATGGTGTCCAAGAAATGTGTAAGTACTTCATTCATAATGATGTACTGCCAGGAATCTTAGCCAAGTATCCCTTATTTGCTTACTGTAGGTGCAGCCTGTAAAGCTGCCGCCCAGTTGGGTGGGTGTGGAGCACATGACTGTAAAGCTGCCGCCCAGTTGGGTGGGTGTGGAGCACATGACTGTAAAGCTGCCGCCCAGTTGGGTGGGTGTGGTATAAAAAGATTATCGACATGTATATGTATTTGTGTAAATGATTGTATATATATGTACATGTGTATGTAACATTAACAATTGTGTAACTAGCTTCAAAAGTAAGTAAGTAAGTAATTATCAAAAGAAGGCACCAAACCGGGAAGGCTATGTAGCACCATCAAATACGCAAAATAATCAGAGGGCGCTAAATATCACCAAGGATGCCAATACGAGAACAAAAACGCATAAGGCGAACGATATCAAAAGTATCCGAGTCACCAAGAATTCTATCGAGGGACAGGTGACCGCGAGGGGCGGTCGGAAAGCAAGACACACGCTCGTCCTGGAAGTCAGGACATTCAAGAAGGACATGCACGACCGTAAGAGGGACAATGCAACTAGGACAATAAGGAGCAGGGCGGCGCTCCATCAAGTGACCATGGGTTAAGCGAGTATGGCCAATACGCAACCTCGCCAGAGCTGTTTCCCACCGCCGGTTACGGTGGAAGGAGGACGGCCACGAGGAAACACAACATTTAAGAGTACGTAGCTTGTTACCAGTAACAGACAACCAAGAAGCCTGCCAACGGGTAAGGACTGAGGAATGGATAACTGGGTAAAAGTCGGAATACGGAATGCCTTTATGAGAGATGGGACAAGAGCGGACAGCTTCCTTAGCGGCAGCATCCGCACGCTCATTTAAAGACACACCAATATGGCTGGGAACCCAACAAAACTCAACCGACTTAAATTTACTGTGAACGAGAAACAGCCAATGCTGGATCTCGACAACTACTGGATGAACCGGATTAAAGGACCCGAGAGCCATGAGGGCACTACGAGAGTCAACAAAAACCACAAAGGAAGACTGACAACGAGAAAGCAGGAGACGAAGAGCATAGAGAATAGCATAAAGTTCTGCTGTAAAGATGCTAGTCTCCGGAGGCAAGCGACACATATAAGTGCGATCAGGAAAAACAACAGAGTAGCCAACACCGTCCGCTGACTTAGACCCATCGGTGAAGACAGAAACGGAGCGGGAGTGAGAAGAAAAGTGCTCGAGGAAAAGGCGTTTTAGAACCGTAGGAGGGGTAAAAGCTTTAGTGATACGGGTCAAGGAAGTACAAAACCACGGAAGAGGGACCCTCCACGGGGGCAAAGAAGGAACAACACGAGGAGAAACATCAGAAATACGAACGGAGAGAGAATCCTGTAGGCGAGATAACCGGACAGAAAGAGGGAGGTGGTGAAGAGGAACAGGAACCGCAGGCGGGGTAAAAGTTAAAGCACGACAGAGGCGAGAGGAAGGATGTTGCAAGGACCGCGCAAGATAGCGAAGACAGTAGCGATCACGGCGGTCCTGGAGAGACAGGAAGCCAGTGTCAACATACAAGCTAAGGATGGGAGTCGAACGAAAGGCACCAGAACTGAGGCGCAACCCAGTATGGTGCAAAGCATCAAGACGGCGAAGAGTAGAAGGAGAAGCAGACGAGTAAGCAGGGCAACCATAATCGAGCTTAGACAGGACGAGAGAGGAATGTAAAGCAAGGAGAGTGCGCCTATCTGCCCCCCAAGAAGTATGGGACAAGACCCGAAGGAGGGTAAGGGCCTTAGAGCACTCAACACGGAGGTAAGAGATATGGGGAGACCAAGACAAACGAGTGTCAAGGAATAACCCCAAAAGCTTCGCGGAATCTTTGTATTCAAGGGGATGACCATAAAGTGACAAAGAGGGATGAAGAACAACCCGTTTCCGCGGAAAAGTCATGGCACAAGTCTTAGAAGTAGAGAACTTGAAGCCATGACCTGTGGCCCAAGACGACACGGCATCAATTGCAAGTTGAAGCCGGCGTTGAAGGAGAGGCGAATCATCACCCTGACAACAAAGGGTAAGATCATCGACATAGAGAGTGGAGAAGACACCAGAAGGAAGAGAGGAAAGAAGACCATTGAGGGCAACAAGAAAAAGAGTAGTGCTCAGAACACTACCCTGGGGCACACCTTCGTATTGCTGAAAAGAGGGAGAGAGAGCGGTACCAAGGCGCACCCGAAAGGAACGACGAGAGAGGAAGCTGCGGAGAAAGAGAGGGAGATGACCACGAAGGCCAAAAGAATGAAGTTGAGATAGGATATGATAACGCCAAGTGGTGTCGTAAGCCTTTTCTAGGTCAAAAAGGACGGCAACAACGGAGGTCTTCGCAGCAAAAGCAGTACGAATATAGACCTCCAAGTTCACCAGGACATCTGTCGTGCTGCGGCACTTGCGGAAACCAAATTGAGAAGGGGAGAGGAGGTGATGGTGTTCCAGGAACCACATCAGACGAACGTTAACCATACGTTCAAAGAGTTTGCAGACACAACTTGTGAGAGCAATAGGACGAAAGTCCTTAGGGGAAGTACCCAGAGACCCCGGTTTGCGAACAGGGAGGACAACGGCATCGAGCCAGTCCTCAGGGACTGACGACGACTCCCAGATCCGATTATACAGACTCAGTAAATACTGAGACGTGCTCGGAGGGAGATGGCGAAGCATCTCATAATGAATACCATCGGAGCCCGCCGCCGTAGAACCGCAGAGGGCCAGGGCAGAACGAAGTTCAGAGAGAGAGAAGGGATCATTATAGGGAAGCTGAAGATGAGTGCAGAAATCTAAAGGACGAGACTCAAGGACAGGTTTACGAAGAAGGAAAGATTGGGGAAGATGAAGACCAGAGCAAACAGAAGAAAAGTGGGAACCCAGTTCGGAAGCGACCTGCAACGGGTCCGCCACAAGAGTATCATGGAGGTGAAGGACCGGTGAAACATCGGGAACGAACTTACCCGCTATCTTGCGGATACGCTTCCAGATCTGGGCCAGAGGGGTCTCGGACGTAATTGTTGAGACATAAGATGCCCAACATTCACGTTTAGCCGTACGGATGGCCCTACGGGCCACCGCACTCGCTTTCCGAAAGAAAAGAAAAGAATCGGTCGTCTGCCTACGGCGGTGCCTCTTCCAGGCTGCACGCTTACAGCGGACAGCCCGAGCACAGTCCGCATTCCACCAGGGAACGCACTTCCGTGGACCCCGAGAGGAAGAGCGAGGAATAGAGCGGAGGGCAGCGTTGAAGACAGTGTCATGAAAAAGGAGGAGAGCGCGAGAGAGAGGCAGAAGGGAGAGGTCAGGGAGAGCAGCACTGAGGGTAAATAGGGTCCAGTCTGCCATAGTAAACTGCTACCTAGGGAAAGAGAGGGAAGGGCGAAAAGAGAAAAAGGAAACAAGGATGGGGAAATGATCACTTCCATGGAGGTCATCAAGAACCTGCCACGTGAAATCTAAGTAAAGAAAAGAAGAGCAGAGAGAAAGATCAAGACAAGAAAGGGTGCGAGTCCGAGAGTCCAAATGAGTGGGCTCACCAGAATTCAGAAGAGACAGGGAAGAAGAGAGGAGAAACGGCTCAAGGAGGCGACCTCGGGTATTCGTCAGAACGTCACCCCAAAGAGAATGACGACAATTGAAGTCACCCAGCAGGAGCACAGGCTCCGGCAAGGAGTCCAGGAGGTGTTTCAAATCAGGAAGAGAGAGCAGGACACTCGGGGGGAGATAAATGGAACAAACTGTGTACCATTTCCCCACAAAGATACGAGCAGCAGAACAATGGAGAGGCGAAGGAAAAAGTAAAGGAACAAAGGGAACATCAGCCCGAATCAAAAGAGCAGAAGAATTAGAAGCCCCAGCAATGGCTGGGGGGGGGGGGGGGAGAGAAAGGAATAGCCACGAAAACGACCAGGACGAGCACCAAGCATTGGCTCCTGGAGACAGACACAAAGGGGCGAAAACCGCGAAATCAGAAGTTGGAGTTCGAGGAAATTGGCGTAATAACCTCGAACGTTCCATTGAAGAATGGATAACGACGAGAAGAGAAAGGACAAAAACAGAGAACAAGGAAGAAACAAAGGCGAAAGAGCAACAGAGCACG